ACTAAGCAGACATGGCATCAGCAAAATGAGGTGAAACTTAGAGATCTACCAAGGATCCAACCACGACATTGAGACTTCTCTCTCGTCATAACATTGTTTACTCAATTTTCTTATAAAATCATATAATCGATAAATAAGCTAGACTGCACCTGGTTTATTTATCTGCACATCGATAAATAAACCTGGTTTATATATCCATTGTATATGGCACTGAATATCAACAATCTAAATGCATTCCTCATGAGCGTGATACCAATATACAATTATATATCAGATGTCACCTCAACTCCACTGGACTTGGAGATTACCATATGCAGCATAAACACGCACTCAGCACGAGGCTGAGTGCGTGAATCTGGATTTCAGATTCCTGAAATTCAATGTTCATAAAATAAAAAATAAAAATTACTGGCCCTAAAGATGAAGTCTAGATACTGATGTTATCCCCGACATACTTAAAAGAGCGGATATTGAGCCCCTCCCAAGAAGGCAGTAAAACAGATGCAAAAATTATAGACCGATAGCACTACAATCACACATCATGAAATAATCATCATACTGTATCATTATAATATATTAATATGTTATAAAATATTAGTTATAATATATATAATGTTACGTATCATATATATTATTAGTAATATTATCTGTAAAGTGAAGTTAACGATAACGTTAAAATATTAATTAATTAGACCCACTAAGTATTATTGCTACACACACACACTGCTCTTGACCTCAGACTACGAGCTCGAGGACAGCTAGAGGAACCATCTCTGTACCTAACTAGGGTACAACCTTGCCGAAGAACTACTAACGAAACTTGTAACTAACAATCACTCTGTGGCTGCTCGGTAATGTTGTACAAATGATGGTTAACAAGACAATACATATCATTTTTCCTTACTTTTTATAAATGATCGTGACCTGGTGGGTAGAGTAGCCTGAATACGGATGCTTGAGCTATACCTAATGCATTAAGTAGAATACAAATTACATGTTTTAATTGAAAGGCAAATTATTGCAATGCAATAAACTTCGATACAATGTACCTACAAATCTTTTGCGAGACACAGTGTGCTCTGGCAATATGGAGGTCTCCCTGGCACCCTTCCCACACACACTTGTGTGATGGTGCTTGTGAGGTACATTCTCAAATGTTGTTCCATTAACCAGAGGTTTACTCAAGACTGGGCAAATATATGCATCCCTCTTTGCACCAGCACTCATGATGAGAGAATGGGAAGTATAAAGATTACGTTGTAGCAGGGTGTGCTTGGGACTTTCTATATTTAAGATTTGCTGCGTTTCTTTGTGTATTCCTTATTATGTAGACGAGGTTGTCAAAACAGTCACCCATCCAGTTAAAAGCCAAATTGAATACTGCTTAAGCAATTGGTGTGTGCACATTAATCATAGCTCCACGCCAAGACATCGCATCACAAAATTCTCAGAGGAATTGACAAGGTGGACAAAGACAAAATATTTAGAATGGACGAAACATGAACAAGGGGACATAGGTGGAAACCTAGTACTCAAATGAGCCACAGAGACATTAGGATATTTTTTAGTGTAAAGATAGTTAAATAATTTAATGCATTAGGCAGTGTTGTGGTGAAAGCTGACTCCATATAAAGATTGAAATGTAAATATGATAGAACTCGATAGGCTCAGGAACCTGTACACCAATTGACCGACAGTTGAGAGGCGAGACTAAAGAGCCGAAACTCAACCCCCGCAAGCATAACTAGAAGAGTATACACACACACACACACACACACACACACACACACACACACACACACACACACACACACACACACACACACACACACACACGCCTTTTCAAGCCAGCCCGGCTGTGGAACCACCTCGGGTGGGGAGCCAGAACGAAAAGGCAATGTAAAGGATTTGGGTATACTTGTCGGAAGACCTTACCTTTAAAGAACACAATAAAGTAGCCGGTGTATGTATATAATATATATATATTATATATATATATATATATATATATATATACACACACACACACGTGACATGACAAATTATGTTTGTTACATCTATTTTAATGTGAAATAAATGTTAATCAAAACAAGGGTAGTTAAATTTTCAGAAGTTGTGAGATGTTCGCAATTTTATTGAGACCCGCAATTATCTTTACGTTATCTGGGAATTGTTTTTATTAAACTTTCTTATTGGACAATAATATATTATTATAAATATTACAGCCGCTTACCTTCGAGTATTTTTGTCCTCCTCTTTCGTGGAGGTAACCGAGTGACTAGCAGGAGGTGCTCAAAGCCTTATCTTAATTAAATTTTAAAGAAGTTCTTATCTTTCCAAAACCTTTTGGTGCTCGCTTAAGTGGTGCTGGGGCGATGGAGAGGTTGACTTTGTGACCCAAGAAAGTGTTAGACCACTTGCTTACTCTTTTACTATTCATCACTATTGTTGCTATCACTCTTAATGGTTGCTACTGATGTATTTGATGCGCATCTAAATGTTCACAGTTAGTTTTACATCTTGCATATGTTTATGGTCAAATAAAATGTAGTGAATTTAGATCTTATTAATATTTTTGTTTGCAGTTAAGGCCACAGCAGCTGAAGTATTATGACTTATTTGCTGATAAAGTCTTTTCCCTCCTACTTACCCAACTTACTGTCTTACTGTAATGTCTTACCCAACTTGTTTACCTCAGAATACGATCCACCAGTTGAATTTAAAAATGAGCGATATTGTTGCTTATGATGAGTTTACCTCTAATATCTTATAGGATACACTGTGAACGTACAAGCTATTTTTCAATGTTATCTGTTTTTTTATCATTCATTCCTAATAGCTCAATTCAATAAGCTCTGATGGTCAGTCTTACTGCAACTCTATGGACTTTGTCTAAACCTATTTGAGGGGAGAATTTCACAGTGTTGCTATATATCTATAAAATATAATGTATATGATACTTACAATATATATATATACAAAATGGAATATATCTGGCATGCCGACTCTTCAATGCTAAATACGATGATGAGTAAATCACCTAAAGAGTATAATATTCAACACGGAAGTTCCGTGACCCGAAACTATGCCATATTATTATAAACTCTTTATTAAAATGATGGAAGTAAGGTAAGATAAGGAAAAGTAAGTAAATTACTGAGGGTGAGCTGCATGTTTCATGACTACATGTAGACCTTCTGCATAGTGCCACATGGGACAATAATTTACAAACTATAAACACGGCGAGAGACACCTGGCTGAGTCACTTACTGTCTGTAGCAGTACCTGATAAATATTAGAGTTGGAGAGCTCCCGGAATGGACAGAACATGCAAAGTTAGAAGCTGAATTCCATAAAGTTAGAAGCTGAATTCGTGCTGTTCACTATATGCGTGATCAACCGGCCTGGAGAATGACATACCGGGAGATATTGATTTTTGATGCCGATACTTACAAGTATTTTGCAATGTATGAGAAGAACAATGTATAAGTGTGTTAATAATGCAGTAAAAGGACACAGTAAACCAACAAAAAGGATGCGTTAGGTGGATATAATCGAGTTTATCCATAACATGTTCAAGGTAAAGAGTACTATCTAAAGCACAGGGAAACTTGATAGTACCTCCCCAGCTGCAGGAGTGAGAAAAGTACACTACAGTTGGAAAGAGAAAATGGTCTAAATTTATGCAACTCCAAAATTTTATTTATCGCCTCCACTTCATAAACATACAAACGTTTGGGACGGTCCAGGGATTTACCACCAGCTTAGTTCCTCAGAATATGAATCTAAATTATGAGAACTATCTGTGACAACACATATATCTTATATGTGTTAATGGGTGTGTGTGTGTGTGCGCGCGCACGCACTATTAAGAATATAAATAAGTTGTATCATAAAACATTTCAAAGGACTCGAGTAACACTCATACTTCACCTTTCATATAGCTTTATTAATATTATTTTCCGCTCACATTCATAAAAATGCAAGATAAAATTTATATTCTAATTTTTATACTAAAACTTGACTGAAGAAATTAATAATAGTAACCGTACGAGGGGTATACAAGGCCGTGCCTCTGCTGGTGGGAGACGCCGTACCCTGGGTGCTTCACGGTCGTGCTGTAGCCAAAGGCAGAACCCAAACCGTACCCGGGTTCAGCTTCCCTCTTTCCGATGCCGTGGCTCTGGACGTAAGAGATGCCGCCGTAAGGGTGGTAGGCGATACCTGGTCCATACCCGTATCCGAAACCGTGGCCGTACCTGGGGTAGCTGGACAGGTAACCGGGCTCAGCTTCCCTCTTTCCGATACCGTGGCTTTGGACGTAGGACGTGGCGCCGTAAGGGTGGTAGGCGATACCTGGTCCATACCCGTATCCGAAACCGTGGCCGTACCTGGGATAGCCGGACAGGTAACCGGGCTCAGCTTCCCTCTTTCCTATGCCGTGGCTTTGGACGTAGGAAGTGGCGCCGTAAGGGTGGTAGGCGATGCCGGGTCCATATCCTATTCCGTAACCATACCTGGGGTAGCTGGAGAGGTAACCAGGCTCAGCTTCCCGCTTGTGAAGGATGTGGTTGTAAGAATGGACAGAAGAGAGACCGTACGGGTGAGTAATGACATGGCCGTAGCCATATCCAGGGAAACCGTATCCATGGCCGTAGCCATATCCAGGCTCAGCTTCGCGCTTCTGCTCTGCTGCCACAAAGGCTGCCAACAGTACAACGATCTACACCCGGGAAAAACACGTGGGATTAATTAGCTACACGTTCTGCCGTCTACATATAGTCTCCAAAAAAAGAATACCAACATGCCAAATGCCAAGAATGCCAAAAAACACTGAATTTATCCATCATTCATAACATTGTGCCTATCCCTGCTCCTGTGTTGACACTCAGAATTAAGGAATTTCACAAGTCAAGACATATAAGCACGACAAAGAACAGCTTTTATGTTGAAGTTCTCACCAGAGTCCTCATGGTTGGCTGAGTGGGTGCGGTTGTGATCCAGGGAGTCCCTCCTCCGTATATATACTGACGGAGGAAGTGCCACGCCCACGCCCAAACCCACACAAGTAACCTCGCTGGCTCCGTGAAACTCGCTCAGGTCCTGCACAAGGCCATCATAACAATGTTCCGTGTTCTGTCCATAGTAGCTTAATACGTGTCGGTATTCTCTGCTCAGTCTTGTGCTATACTTTGTTCTATGCATAGTATACCGCAAGAGGTGTTGGTGGTCTGTCCACAGCAGCATAATACGTGACGGTGTTCTGTGTATAATAACACAAGAGGAATCGGTGTTCTGTACACACACTAGATCAAGACTTAATGGTGTGTTAGTGTTCTTTACACAGTAGCACAAGACATGTCAGTGTTCTATTCACAGTTTTACAAAACTTGGTGAATTGTAGCGAAGTAGGTGAGTGGTAGGGAACGTGGTGAAGATGGGAAGAGAAGGGGCCAGGTAGAGGGGGTTGACAGACCGGAGCGCAGCTAGGTATCCCAGTAGTGTATATATAGAAAATCATTCACTTGGGCACTAGGACACTCGAAGTGCCGACCATCTGCAGTTATGCAGCAAACTGCAGACGGCCCATTGACCAATTCACGCGAATTCCAGGAAGTTACAATACTGCGAGACTTGATAATGGTTCAGGACGGACCGAAACCTTGTCGTTTCTTCATTTTCTGACGTGTGGTTTGGTCATCAATAGTAATGAGATAACTATTAACAATCTTACTCAAAACGTTTTTTAAAAAATAAAATAAATTGGATTCAAATGGTACAAACCATTACTAATGTTAATATTGTATTTTTATACATTATTAATTAATATATTTTCATAATTAAGCAACACATATTATACATGTGTTGTTTAATTATGAAAATAGAGCTAGAAAATTATTATTTGGAATCGGCCCTCGTGGTGATAATTGTGTCATTAACAAAATACCTTGTAAAGATTGTAATAAATTTTATATAGATCAAACATACAAAGACTTGAAATTTCGAATTTCACGGCATAAATGTTATGCCAAAAATAGCCAATTACCTAATGCTCTATTTATTCATTAGTCAGAAAATTCTCCCTAAATTGATTGTAAGGGAGATTAACAATTATTATTAATTATTACTATAGATCATTATTATTATTTAAATAATTATTATTATTTTTATTTATTTAAATATTGTTTTAATATTATTACTATTAGAATTAAAATAGTAATGATTATTATTATTATTTATTTATAATAATTTATATTATTATTATAGATCCAGATTAACAATTAATTAATCAATAACTAATTGTTAAAGTATTTTCAACAGAAACGTTATGAATCTGCTTTAATACCAATTACGATTTATTGATTAATACGAAAGTACTTAGTTATTTCCCGTTTCATTTTCCTTCGTGGTCAGACTATCACATTATTAAACACGTGTTAAGTTTTGTTTCATGATTTACACACACACAAGATTTTATATATATATATATATATATATATATATATATATATATATATATATATATATATATATATATATATATATATATATATATATATGTATATATATATATTAAATGCATTTTATATATAAATGAATATTAAAATTAAATCGAAAACTAAATATTAATATAAATTAATATTTAGTGATATAATAATAATGAGTATACAATCTGTTGATACAGAATCTACACTCTAACTGTATAGATCCAACATTCTACAGACGCTGTAAGCGAATAGAGTTTTACTCTCTCAGTTAATTTGATACATTTATAGCTCAAGTTACGCAGTAAATTATAAACCAGCATTATCTGAGACAAGTGAGCTTTAACAGTAACCTCCAGGCATTTTGTGTCACGTGCCTGACTGTCTTAACGATGTCCTTGGCTTCCTAAGAGAGTGAAAACAATTCAAAGCGAAGGTCGTTAAGAAAAGTAAACAAAATCCTCGGGATAGTGACGAACGCAGAGGCATTAACTGTCGAAAAAGAGGATAAATTCCTTAAATATGAGTGCCGAGGACATGATAGATTATTGAAGGCCACAGGACGGGTCCAAGGCACTGCTCACAACACACACTCAACCCTGGCATTGTCACGTGTTCTCAAAGTATAATTTTCTACATGATCCAGCTCTTCCGGGGGGACATCAGAAGCTGACATCATCTATTGTGTGTGTATTGTGGTGTCACTCTGAGTGTTGTGTTGCACTGTGGTGGGTCACCCTGAGTGTTGTGTTCTCCCTGGTGATCCTGTTCACCTAGCAGTAAATAGGTACCTGGGAGTTAGATAGCTGCTACGGGCTACTTCCTGGGGATGTGTGTGCGTATGTTAGAGAGAAATATATGTAGTAGACATTGAGGAAAAATAAATTTGTTAGAAAGGCGGGCTCCAAGAGCTAATATAGCTCGATTCTGGAATACAATTTAGGAATCTGGAATACAAATATCTGGATTCTATAAATATCTGGATATAATCTGGATTCTGGAATACAAATACATAGCTAGGAACTCTTCAAAATAGTACAAACAGCCCACATAACACCAGTACTGGGATGTGGCCCAGCATTGTGGAATTCACACCTTCTGAAGCAAAGACAATATATATATTATTGATGAGGTTACAAGATCAGCTGAACATGATGCAAGAAATTCCACATCTTAGCTAAGGGAAAAAACTAATCTTAAATGAGATGAAAATTCAACGCTGTGCGAACCAGAGGCGACTTTCATTTGGTGTCTTAGACAAAGTCGACATTGAAAGTTGATTTTAAGTAATGAGTATAGGAACTAGAGGTCGCCGGATGAAGGTGGAAACCCAGACGAGTGGCAGAGAGATAACAAAAATAAACATTTGTGTCAGTAGTGAACCCTTTGAACGAACTTGACGGGAGCCGGATGATGCAAATTCATTTACAACTTTATGACACGATATGATAAATCAGAGTTTTTAAGAGTAAAATTGTACAAGATACTCCTTAGTGAAGAACAGAACCCCGGAGCTTTTTCTCTGCTCATCTAAACGAATGATTTATTATTACACACACTGTGGTGGATGGAAGTTTATATGACATGAATGAAAAGAGTGGACAATCACCAAATACCATTGTGGGTTTCCGAGGAAAGTTTGAAACATTTAGTACCTCTACGAACCCTTCTTTACTGTAAACATCCTGGCCTGGATGGTAGAGCAGGGGCCTCGTATATTACAGCTTCACAATAAAATATATTTGAGAAAATATATTTGTATAGGCAGTATGAAAGTAAACACAGATAGACCGAAGATGAACCTTCTGTCTGTACTGCAAACCTCTTTTGATAAAGAGGATGTAATATAAAAAAGGCTACCAGGATCTATTATAAAAAAAATTCTGAGATACACGATTGTACATACGCAGTCTGTGAATACGTGTTAGACATCGTCTCGACGGTATTGTGATCATTAGAGCAGAGTCGGGTAACGTTTAGTGTATTTCTACTCCCACGCTGGTGAGCACAGGGAACATCCTTGATCACAAGGTGGCTGTTGTCACACCCTCACGTCCTCAAATGCTTCAGCATATTACGATGCCTCACGCGCGTCTCAAAACCGAGCATCTACGCGCGTAATACTCACTTCAGACCTTGAAACATTCCACGAATATACATATATCATGCCTATTCAGCTATACGTTGCCGTTCACGCCTACGTCTATATTTTAATAACACAGTACAAACAGGTTAAGCAGTCCTAAACGCCTGCATTCAAATCATAAATCAAATATGTACACATTAGTAGAATATCGTCGGCAACATATGCCAAACAAGGCCACGTTCGGGAAGCGTTTAGGAGCCTTGACAAAGTAATCTGCTGAGTGCTATATATAACCAATGTGTGTGTCACTTACTTAAGGGCTTTCATGCCTGGTATGGAATCCCCACGTAAAAAATTGCAAATTAGTACTAGTAAAGGCCAAAGATATGCAATAACACTCGTTCCTGAGCTGAAGGGACTTAGTTACAAGGAAAGAATGAAGGAACTTTATTACACAACCCTTGGAAGAGAGAGAAAAATCCTGTGGATAAGATTACGATACAAATGTTTATGATTAAATCAGACAAAGAAGCAATCTTCTTAATGAAGAAAAGTTAAACGAGGAAACATAATTGGAACCAAGAGATACAAATGAGTTGCTCAGAGAACTTATTCGTTGTAATAATTGTAAATCTTTGTAATGAGCAAGATGAAAGAGTTAAAGCAAACTCAACACAAAATGTTAAAAGTATGACAAGAAAAAACTTGTTTTTTCAAATACATTTGACCTTGAAAGCCCCACCTCCATTCGAGTACTCTCACACCTGCACTCACTCACTCACGCACGCACTCACCCCCTCTCTCACATATCCAGCATACCAATGCGGCCACCGCGGTCACACTTCCTCACGCATATTAGACGCCAGAGATCAACCAGACCTTGAAGTGTACGGCGGCCGTGTTTCTCCAAACTACCTCAACTGTGCTGCAGGCTGAACTAGACTCTCGATTTCAGTCTTAATGACATGGCTGAAGGATTTTCACTTTCCTGTTTGACCATAATGATCGTTTCTTGATGTGAAATATGTACATTAATCCACTTAACACAGACACACACACACACACACACATATAAACATACACACACACATAGCGTTTAGGGAGGGTCGTTACTTATTTCGAATTATAGGTCTTCAGATTTCTATATTTTAGATTTCAGTTCTATAATATTTCTATGTTTTACTACTAACCTCATGCTTTACCTTACCAGTCTTACAGCTTACCACTGATCAATTTCATGTCTTACTGGCCAACACTACCACCCTCATGTCTTACTGGCCAACACTACCACCCTCATGTCTTACTGGCCAACACTACCACCCTCATGTCTTACTGGCCAACACTACCACCCTCATGTCTTACTGGCCAACACTGCACCAACAGTGGTGTATAAGATTACAGCAGCAGTAACTTATAAGATTACTTTGCC